GATTAATTTTTCGTTATTTAGTCAAACACATAAAATGGACATAGCTACTCAAGTAATTTTTTACATACATAAAAACTCAAATACTAAATCAATTGCTTAAACAATTAAATTTTTTTTTACTTAAATCCACTCTCTTATGTACTTATTATTTGAAAATCAGGTCATGTTTTTGTACCTTTATCTTTTTATGTTTACGTTCTCTTTGTTTTTTACTTAAATTCTAAACATAGCGTGATACTTTTTATTGTTTTTGAAATATTAGTAGTTATTGTGTTATGTACGGGTATGTAAGTATGATTTACCAGGTTGATTCAAATATTACAAATAATAATACACCATGTTCAATTCAAACAACTACGATTCGGTTTATTAAATAAACAATTTATTTATTCGTTAATTCATAGTGTCTCAAACTTCTTTGAGTGCATACCATGCAATTATCAATAAAATTAAACTAAAACAAAGTTTTACTATTCATTCACTATTTGAAACACTATTTACACACTCACAAAATCACTATTCCTTTCACTATTCATGATATTTTTGTAACACTTTAGTTCTCAATTTTTTTATATATATTTTTTTTAATTTCAAACTTTAATTGTATTATGATTTGGTCTAATTTTTTTTTTAGTATGTTTTGTTAATTATTTTCATTATTTAAAATTTACTACTTTAATTTGTCATTTTTTTAAATTCTCTTTCTTTTTTCAATTTCACACTTTAATTATAATGTGATTTGATCTCATTTTGTTTTAGTATTTTTTGTTAATTATTTTTATTATTTAAAATTTACTACTTTAATTTATCATTTTTATTAAATTCTCATCCAACTAAATTAAAATTATATTTAATGATAGTTTTGATTTATTTTTCTATAGATGTGGATTTTGGGATAAATTTTTAGAATATGATTATTTTTTCTTTGAAAAAATAGATTTAGATAATTTTTAAATTATAGTGGCATGATCAATATATATATTTTATCTGAAATATATTTTTAGATTAAAAGTGTATTTCAAATAATTTTTCTCATTTATTATATTATTTTAAATTTACTAAATTAATTTTTCATTTTTTTAAATTCTCTTGTTTTTTTCAATTTCAAACTTTGATTATATTGTGATTTGGTCCCTTTTTTTTTTAGTTTTTTTGGTTAATTATTTTATTATTTAAATTTTACTACTTTAATTTGTCATTTTAAAAAAAATTGTCATCTAATTAATTTAAAATTATATTTACTAGCGAGTTTTGATTTATTTTTCTATATGTATGGATTTTGGAATAAATTTTTAGAACATGATTATTATTTTTTGAAAAAAATAGATTTAGATAATTTTTAAATTATAGTGGCATGATTGATATATATAATTTGTTTGAAATACATTTTTAGATTAAAAGTGCTTTTCAAATAATTTTTTTTCAGTTTTTTTAATGTTATTTAAAATTTACTACATTAATTTGTCAGTTTTGTTTTTTGAATTCTCTCTTTTTTCTTTCAATTTCAAACTTTGATTATGTTTTGATTTGATTTTTTTATTAATTATTTTTATTATTTAAAATTTATTACTTTTATTTGTCATTAAAAAAAAATTCTCATCTAATTAATTTAAAATTATATTTACTCGACAATTTTGATTTATTTTTCTATATGTATGGATTTTGAAATAAATTTTTAAAACATGATAATTTTTTTCTTTTGAAAATAGATTTAGATAACTTTTAAATTATAGTGGCATGATTGATATATATAATTTGTCTAAAATACATTTTTAGATTAAAAATGTATTTCAAATAATTTTTTCTTAGTTTTTTTAGAAAAAAATCAAATTAATTAATTAATAGTTGAAAGTCAAATTAATATAGTTTTTATTTTAATATTATTTATTCTTTTGTAAATAAATATATAAAAATTAAATTCATATTTTTTCAAAAATCGATATTCTCATCAACATTAAATAAATAAAAAAATATTTATTCAATTATATGTATGTTTTTAATAATTTTTATTTATGTTTTTCGACACAATCTTATGAAATACTAAAGATTTTTTTTAAAAAGAAATTATTTAATTTTCTTTTTAGTTAATAATCCATGGATTAACAAGGATATATCCTTTTTCTAAAGAAAAAAATTATAAAAAACATATATAAAAAATAGTTAAATGCAAAATTTTTTATTAAAAAATTATAAATATTTTTTTTATCTTTGATTTCATATATTTTTATAGATTCATACCATAAAACAGTACTATTAAACTGAAATTATTTATCTAAATGATTTTATATATTTTATTCAATCTGCAGCACATTGTGAGCAAAAAAACTAGTCAATTTCTACACAAACATATCAAATTTGAGAATTCAAAGAGTAATTTTTGTCTTCCATATCATTAAAAAGACCGGTGGTGCTAGAAATAACCATATGTTGGAATAAATTATAAATTAGTCCCTCTAGTTTCGAAAAATGAATGAATTAATTTTTTTATTTTAAAAATTAATTATTTAATCCATTAACGAGTGTTGACCATAATTAAAAATAAAATTTTTTAAATTTCTTTATTTTTTAAAAATTTATTTTCTCATCTTTCTTTGCATGATATTTATTTACTTTTTTTATTTTTTGAAAAAAATGAATTGAAAAAAAAGTACAGAAAGAATTAAATATTTAATTTTTGATAAAAAACTAATTAATTTATTTCTTAAAACTATATGGATTAATTAATAATTTACTCGTTCGAGATGTTCAGGACTCTCAAAGAACAAGTTGTTGTTTTCCTTATTTATTTTGTTTTTATCTATGGATGTAGCGACAATAGTGCTTTGTTTGTACCTTCTTGAGTATTAATGAAAATTTTATTTTATATATACACACAGAATAAACAACAAAAATACAAGAATGGCATCACAGTGTGTAGTACTGCGCCCTACAACTATAGGTTGTAGCCTGGTCCAACACATCGATGAAAGCTAATAAATCGCAGCGCCAAGACATTTGTTTTCATGAAAAAGAACAGCATTGTGTTGTACCCATTCCTCCAGGCCCTGATTGCAGTTCCAATAAGGGGACAATTAATGACACGGTGGAGCTTGTCTTGCAGCTTCTCACTGTGTGGCGAACAGTGTGAGAAGATCAGATTTATATAGTTTGAATCTTTGCTGGACTCTTCGCTGTGGATATAGATTAACATAAGGAATGAATTTTAACCAGTTCGATATGAATAGATAGATGAAATAAATGGATTTTTTTATATAAAAAAAGTGAATTTTAAGAAAAATATTTTGAGAGAAAATGAATTACTTTCTGATAATTGATTATATCATAGAAAATTAGTAGGTCTCATTTATTTATAGGAAAGTGGATTTTTTTTTTTTTAATGAATTTTAAGACAAATAGTTTTAGAGAAATGAATTACTTTCCAATAATTGATTGTATCATAGAAAATGAGTAGGTTTCTTTTATCAATAGGAAAGTGGATTTTTTTTTTTTTTTTTTTTTTTTTGCAAATGAATTTTAAGAAAAATAATTTTTTGATAAAATGAATTACTTTCCAATAATTGATGGTATCGTAGAAAATGAGCTGGAAATCATTTTCTAGTGTTTGATGGTATCATATAAAATAAACTGGAACAATAATGAATTTTGAGTTATTAATTTTTTTTTTTAATTATCATTAAACCTTTCTTGGTCTTTGGTGATATTGATAACAATTTTTTTTCTTTTTTTTATTTGGTATCCTACTTTTATAATACCATTTATATGATTTTGAAATATATGATTATTGTATAATATGATGTGTTGTGTATTATCATGTATCTTCCAACAATATTGTTTAAATTAAAGCATTTTATAAATTAATATAATTTTATGTATTATATATTGATATATCTCAATATATGATATCATATATAAATAAGTATTTTATTAATACATTTATGTTTATATACATAAAAATAATGGAATATCGTACCACTTTAGTTTTTAATCATTCATAGAAAGTGTTTTCCACTTTTCCTTCGATTAGAAAGTAAATTTTGATGACCAGTTTTCCAAAACACTGCCGAACATCATGAGACAATCAGGAAAATGCATTTCAGAAAAATACTCTCAAGACAAATAAACGAAACCTTATATTATATTGCAGCTCCTAATATTGTAAATTTTATTCACTTTCTTTCGCTTGCCCGATGCCGCATTCAAATTAAACACCGATCGATGCTTAAGAGTGTGGTTGTATGCTTAAACACCCAAATACGACAACGCATTCATATTCTCCAACTACCAAAAACAGAGTACGTACGCTGGCTTAATGAAGGTTCAGTTCTGCCATTGAATGATCTCCCAGCTGGTTATGGTTGTGGAGCCAAGCAAAGCTGTTGAGGTGGTTGGGAACTTTAGGCGAGTGAGTGAGGGCCAACACTTTCTCTCATTTTTTTTCCCATTCCCTAAATTAATCTTCGTCGATGGAACTTGTCAATCCTTTTGGGTTTAACACACCATTAATTTGCAGAAATAAGTAGTTGATTTATTAGCATTGACAAAATTAGTAGTACAAGATTAGTGACATATGAGTACTCCACAAATTCACTGATCAACAAGGAAACACAACACAATCCTCATCCCACCATAAAGTAACATTTAAGCAGAAACACAAAAATTTGCCAGATTTTGAAAAATCCAAACAAACAAACAAAGAATATGATGTTCTAAACGGCTTCATTCTTGGGTAGATCAAGCAATGAAATGTAGATGCCACAGTTAAGTAGTACTAATTTAGTTACTATAATATAAACACTATAAAAAATACCATTACGAACACTCTTGATGCATTTTAAGCAAAATGCCACAAAATGATCCAAACCCATAAACAATCTCACCTTAACAAATACACGCACATATATCACCACAATCTACTACTACGCACTAAAAGTAAAAAAAAATAAAATAAAATAAAGTAGGATTTATAATAAACCAAGAACAAACCCAAAGAAACCTGCCACTCATCTCCTGCAGCGAGTGATCCTAGAACACCCTCTGGAGTATGGATTCACAGCAGTCCTAGACTTGTAGCAATTGTGGCTGTAGTAAGATCTTCCAGACCTTGCAGGACAAGGAATTCTATTAGCAGACAAAGCTCCATATGAGATATAGTAATGCCTTCTCCAAAACAAAGATCTACGACTGCTTTCTTCATCATCAACATCGACATCATCAAAATCCACTAACCCATCTTCAAGTTCACTACTTCCTTCTAAATACATGGGCATTGGCCATTCTAGTGCATCATCCATTGCCATCAAGCTTGTTTCATCCACTTGAGCTTGTATTCTTGGACTCAAAGCAAGAAAGAAAACGAAAAAGAAGACCGAGAAAGTGAAATAGCTTTGCAATGTAGGAGTTGCCATGGTGAGAAAACACAAGTAAAGGAAGTGATCAAAGGAGCAGCAATTGGATAGCTAGCTATAATGGCTTGGGTTTCTTGGTTTCTAGTTGTTGAGTGGTGAGGAAGGGAAGGGACATGGTGGGGTTGTGGGGACATAGAGTCACATGCAGGTGCAGGTTTTGGAGGTGAAGAATTGATTGGGTTACAGCTGTGACTCATCAATTTATCAGGGAACGCGTGTCTCGATTGCCGCGTTGCTTTCTTTGTCCTTCTTTAGGCTGATGATTTGGTGGGTTAGGGTTTATTCTAAGATTGTGGTATGGAGTTTGTGATGGGTTTTCAGTGGGCTAAATAACAAGTGTTGGAATCAGATTGGCTGTGACTTGGGAAGAAAGTTTGCTGGGATGCAGAGGATAATTGTTGGGGGATATTTGGGTCGCTTATTTTAGCTGGATGTAACGAATAAGACATGCGGCACATTCGGCGGATTGTTTTAAAGGACGCGGCTAGCCGGACATTTACGGCCCAGCTTGATGCCATGTTAGTTTAAGCCAATAATACACAGTAAAAATGGCGATAACTTTGGTTAATCTAAATGAGAAAAGGTTCAGTTTTATTTTAGTCCAATAAAGTTGAAAAGATGAGGATCTTTATCTTGCTTTTTGATAAATGGTTTTCCTTGTGAAGCACTGAATTTTCTTTGGTAATATAATTAATTAGAGTAGTAAATTATAAATTAGTCTTTTTAGTTTTGCAAAGCCAATTAAATAGGCCCCTCTTGTTTAAAAAAAAATTAATTAGTTTTTTAAAAATATTTATTATAGTTAATTTAATATTATTTTGCTTTAAAAATATATTTTTATCTCATCAATTTTTCTATATTTTGATTTTTTTTAAATTTTAATTTATAAAAATGAAAATGAAAGAAAATAATTAAGTTATAAATAAATTTTAAAATATAAAGATTAATTATTAGTTATTGAAACCAAAATGACTATTTAATTCTAAAAAAAACAGATAAAGAGACTCGTTATAAAAAAATGATAAGATAGTAGAATTGAAGAGAAAGATGATAGGAAAATAAATTCACTATAAAATAAAATGAATATAAGAGATAATAACTTCAAATAATTTTCTCAATATCTACAAAAATACTTGTATATAAACTAATTAATAATCAAGCTTATTTGTAGGCTTCAAAAGTTGAGAAGAGAATTGGAAGAGACTATAAATAATTAAAAGTACATAAATTATTGAATCAATTGTATCTCCCTTTCAATTTCTCATATTGAATGATGAATTGAATCATATTAAGAATTGTGCTAGTGGAGATATGAAAAGTATATGAATATTCAAATGAACATTCATTATTTTATAACACTCCCCTGAATGTCTATCGTACAAGGAACATTGCTCGTTAAAACCTTAAATGTTGGGCTCGCCCTATTGAAAACATAATTTGAGATCTTTAAGACGATGCATTTCATTCTTGTGAATCATCTTCTCAAAAGTTATGGTAGTTAATACCTTAGTGAACAAATCTACTGGATTGTCACTTGATCGAATTCTTCCTTTAATTGAATTGTACAAGCATCATTATCTTTAAATGATATTGTTGAAATTTTTTTACTCGTAGATAAACCGCATGTCTCTCGCATATAATGGATCGTTGATCTTAACCAAGCACATTCTTGACTTGTCTCATAAATTGGTATGTCCGCATGATAATTTAAATATCTAGTAGCTATAGTTTGAGATCTACTAGGCTCCCCTATTGAAAACATCATTTGAGATTTTTAAGACGATGCATTTCATTCTTGTGAATTATCTTCTCAAAAGTTATGGTAGGTAATACTTTAGTGAACAAATCTACTAGATTGTCACTTGATTGAATTCTTCCTTTAATTGAATCATGCAAGCATCATTATCTTCATATGATATTGTTGAAATTTTTTTACCGGTAGATAAAATGCATGTCTCTCGCATATAATGGATCGTTGATCTTAATCAAGCACATTCTTGACTTGTCTCATAAATTGATATATCCGCATGATAATTTAAATATCTAGTAGCTATAGTTTGCTTCATAGAACGTCATGATATAGTTGTATCACTAAGTGTAAGTACATAACTCGTTTATGATCGAGTTTTGTATGGATCGATAAATAACTCCGTATCCGCACAACCAATTAAATTTGACTTTGATTTATTTTAGTAAAATAAATATCATATCAATTTTTTTCTAAAATATATCATAGGAAATGTTTAATTTCATTTCAATATCTCCGTATTGTAGCAGTAATTATGACTTACTAATAAATTTATAGAAAAGACTATATCGGATCGACTATTATTAATAAGATACATCAATGCACTAATAGCACTAAGATTTGGTACTTCATGACCAAGTAGTTTTCGTTATCTTTTCGAGGTCGAAAAAGTCTTTTTGAATATCAAGTGAATGAACTATCATTAGGCTAGTTAATAAATGATCTTTGTTAGCACCTAATTTTTGCTCTTATTTATTTATTTATTATTATGAAAATAACAAAAGATAAAAAAAACAAGATAAATAGAAAAAGAGAAAAAAGAAAAAGAGAGAATTAGGGTAGTTAGTTTAGAAAAGGGGTTTAATTGAAAAAATAAAAAGGTTGGAAGCAATTAAAAGAAAAATTGAGAGCATAGAGGAAAAAATCAAAGTTTCAAACCCTTTAATTAAAATGAGGAGGGATACAATTAGAACTAATTAAAATAAAAAGTCCCAATTATTGGCAAGAGGAGGCTTAAATTAAAACACAAAAAAAAAAAATTGAACCCAAATAAATGCATGGAAGAAAATCAAGGACTAAAGTGGGTTTTTGCCAAAAAAAAAAAAAAAAACCCTACCAATATAAAACCCCATGCATTTTTTATCGGAAAAACTATTCACCGTCACCCTAAAAAAAAAAAGGAGACCCGATTGCTCGCAATTTTCTCTCCCACGCCGATCGCTCCTCCCTCACGCCCACACTCTCTCGCCCATTCTCGTCTTTGCTTTCGGCCTCCCTCGCACCTCGCCTCTCTCGCTCAACTAGCCTCCCTCTCACTCGCTTCCCTCACTCGCTAGCCAACCTAAGCATAGCAACCCCCTCTCGTCGGCTAGCCAACCCCACACGCAAGCAGCCCCTTCTCACTAACCTACTATCGGCACCTTCAAAACCACTATACCTAAACCTCTTTCATGCCACAACAACCCCATAGCAGCCCTCTCTCATACCACAAACATCCCCACATAGCGAGACCTCTCTCACGCCCTAAAATCAGCCCAAAAAAAACCTAAAAAATCTACCAAAACCCTCCCAAATCAGCTCGAAACCGTTATCGACGAGCCTCAAAAACCCTACAGAGCAACCCTTTTTAGTAGGCCTTTCCCTCACCCAAACACAGCCACTAAAACACCCCCAAGAAATATTTAAGATACCCCCAAAACAATCTCAAAAGTAGTCTTAAAATCAACCTCGAAACGGACCCAAAAGTCTGCTAAAAGCCCCAAAATTAGCTCTAAAATTGTCGCCAACAGACCCCTAAAAACCTTTACAGAGCAACACCTTTGGGCGGTTCCTTTGAACCATCAAAGAAGCCCTAAGAATAACTCTAAACCAGCTTCAAAAGCACCCAATAAACGCCCCAAAATATCAACTAAATAGACGCAAAAACCTCTAAAAAAAAGCCCCCTAAACATTTTCCTTTTTTTGTGTTACCGAAAAGAAAGAAAAGGAAAAAAAAAGATCTTGTGTTATAGTTTGGTTGCTACTTTTATTTAATTTGTTTTGACAGGAAACATATAAGATCTCGTACCATGTGTTATCTACAAACAATCACTCTCCTTTTTTGACTAATCGAATATTCGATTATAATCGGGAACGAAGAGAGTAAGACTACTCTAAGCTAGATATCGGAATCACAGGATCTTTGGGTAAAAATTCTAAAACTATCGTATTTTTAAAATATGATTTGTGTTTGCTTTGCGATGGGTGATTGATTGATTGTGATGTGCAATATGGTTTTAAAGTCGCCGATCGTGTTTAAAGTTATTTTGTATGCTTCGTATTTGTTTTTCATCTTTATTTTCACCTTATTTTTATTTTTATTTTCACCTTATTTTATTTTAGTTTAGTTTATTTTTATTTTATTTTATTGTGTGCATCATGTTTGAAAATAAGTCTGTCGGTAGCTTCCCACTTAAGTTATAAAGCGCTAGAGGGCTTCAAAAATATTTTTGTTTATTTTTTTGCATATAAGCCGCCGATGGCTTCCCACTTATGTGAAGAAGTCGTCGAATGCTTCAAAATATTTTTATTTATTTTTTGTATGTATGAAAATATGTCGCCGGTAACTTCCCACTTATGTGACGAAGCCACCAATGAGTTTTCAAAACAGTCATTTGCTCCTTACTTAAGCGACATGAAGTTGCCGATGACTTTTCACCTTTATGATGAAGTTATTAGTAGCTTCTTATAACCATGACTCGAAATAGTCGGCGGCTTCCCACTTGTGTGAGTGTTGTCGGTGACTCGTAGCGTATGTCAATAAAAGGCTATTTACCTTTAGAAACTCATTTATTTTGTGATAATAGGTCATGTTCACTAATGATTAGTCAAAATTTCAATTTGTATAGCTTTTCCCCACTTGGGTAGGGCGTATTGGCTTTGGACCAGCCCGAACGCCCAAACTACTCGTTTCACACTTGAACTATCTCATCCTAGAATTTTATCAAATAAATTCACACGAATAGGCATAGAAGCATAATAGAATAAAAAATCAAAATTTTCTATTTATAGACAAACAATGTAGCCTATCTTAGGTAGGACGGGATGGTGGTGATGTCATGTCTTCCTCATACATAACCGACTCCTTACTTGGATATCTATGTGGACCAAGTATATTTAGGATTTTTCTAGTTTTTCCTAATTAGCTAGGTGGCGACTCCCTTATCTCGGCCCCTTTCCTCACTTGTGTTGGGCCGACGTCGACAATCTTTAT